CAAAAAGAAAAGTCAGTCTGTGGTGGCAACCAATAAATTATTAAAAAACAAGTACTCCCTAAATGTTGTGGTATTCAAAACAAAGAAAATATGGACATCAATGATTGATGTAGTAAATATTTTGTTTTTAGATTCCCCATTGACTGTACTTCTTTTTATGTCCAAGTGGAAATGTACAAAGATGTAAATGAATTATGTAATATTTTGCAGACATTGCATAACGCAGAGAAAGAAAGAAATCAGATGATGGAGGAGGTGGGGACCCACATTTAATGTTATAAGCCTTTGCTTGTCAATTTAATATGACATAATTTGACAAGAAATTGTCATTCATTTCAAACCCCAATTTCATAAATCTATCTCCAACCTCCTCTTTATAACTTTGAGGGAGGAGAGAGGGAAAGAAAAAAATGAAAGAGGAGAGAAAGAGAGAGAGAGAGGTAGAGAGAGATCTAATTGACAAAACGACCAAACATTTATACATGTTGTCACAAAGCAAAAAGACAAATATTCACTACAGTTTCTCGTTTCCCCTTCAAAGCCGGTTAACGTGATTTTGCATTTTGTTGTCTTCTCCGAAGGTAATTCGAGATACTTTTCTGATTCCTTGCTATGCATTCTTTTTTTTCTATTTTGTATAGTGCTGTGTTGACTTTAACAGCCATTTTTTAGCTATTGTTATCACAGAGATGGTTGAATGTAGAGAGACAATAACTGTCACTTTAGAGTAATTAGTTGGCAATGTGTTCCACCATTTCAAGTCTACTTGTCTCTGTAAGTAATGTATGTATTACAAGTTGAGCATTGAGTAGGTTGTTTATTTAGACAAATGATGTTTTCTGTCTGTCATTGCTGCAAGCAGTAACAAAAACAGCCTGCTTATTTCTAAGAGCACGCTGTCTTTCTGTCTGTATATTGGTTGGACCCCAACATTTCTCAACTGCGCTGCCAATGGTTGTAAGTTCAATACAAAGGTTCAGGTTTTTCTTTTTGAGAAGAACAACACAATTGCATAGATTTCTGAATGAGGAGTTATCACTATTTAAATTTGGGCTAATGTCCTCATCTTTGTTGTTGTTATCATGACATTTTGGCCATTGTGACCTCTGTTCTTTTTCATATCTGTGGATCTGGGTAACCTTCATAAAATTTTGAGCAAAACCATTTATTTAATCTACAGCATATTTCTTCTTGTTCTTATTTAGCACTGCTCATCTTGTTAAATAATAGTTTAGCAGATTATTATTTTTAGTGGAAGTGTATCTCAGCCACGACTTCTGGATGTTAACAGATGGAGGACCATAATATGGATGTCAATTTTGATTGGCTGAAAAAGTGATGGAGATGTGTTCTATTTCGTGTCCGACTCAACATGATTACCTGTCTATATTTCTGAGATGAGGTATTATGTACACTATTTACATTATTTGGACTAGTCCTCATCTTTGTTGCCATATTTATCACAACATTTCGGCTGTTGTATGCTCCTGCCTTCTTCAGGTGGCTGGAATGTTGAACTGAACCCTTTATCCACTGTGCCATCTGTCCTTAAGGACACATGGCACAGAGGATAAAGGCATTGGTTAGATCCAGTGACAGCTTGAGTTCAATACCTGGTTAAGGCAGTGAAGAACTTGGAGAAGTGAATTAACAGGAGAGAACTGATAACTGACATCCATTAGACATGGCATGTGGAACTAAAACAGTCTACTCCAGCGAGCGAAATAAACGAAACTGAAATGAGCTGAAATGTTGTGATAAATATGGCAACAAAGTTGAGGACAAAAGTCTGAATAATTTAAAGTGTCAACATGATTAGTAAAAATAAAAATAGTTAAGTTAAAATCCTCTGTTTTGAAGTCTTTCATTGCTGAACCAAAATGACTGGCGATCACTGGCCAAGAGAAAAAGCCGAGCTGAGATCATTCACTGCTGTCAACATACAACAATCTTATTTTCACCGAGTCTAAGACTATACTATCTGGTCCAGGGATTGAACTCATAATTGTCACAATTAACAGATAAAGCAGTTTATGGCTAGATTGTGTGTGCATATGTGTTTTCACTGAATGCACAGATACTTTGGTCCTAAGCAGATTATACCAATACTAAACCTATCCCAGCAGGAATGCTGAGCCATATGTAAATAAAATAATTCACTCATTTTTGGCAAGTACTATATACTTATTTACACTATTTACATTATTCAGGCTGTTGTCCTCATCTTTGTTGCCATATTCACGATGTTTCAGCCATTGTACATTCCCGCCTTCTTCAGGTGATTGGAATTTCAAACTGAACCTTTTATTTAATCCACCAGAGTAGGATGTTCTATTTCCACATGTCATGCCTCTTCGGGATGTCTCGGCTATCTCCCTTTCGCTGAACTCTCCAAGTTTTTTTTTGTTCACTACTGCAGTAGCCAGGTATTGAACTCATAATTGTTTGGGTAAAGTCATTGGATCGAACCAACACTTTTATCCACTGGTTCCTGTATTCTTGAAAAAAAAAAAAAAAAAATGACTTGGAGGGTTGAGTTAAAGGGAGATAACTGAGATATCCAGTAGAGGCTTGGCACATGGAACTAGAGCAATCTACTCCACTGGACAAAATAAAAGGTTCAGTTCAAAATTCCAATCAACTGAAGAAGGCCAGAGTATACAAAGGTCAAACATGGCAAAAAGATGAGGACAACAGTCTGAACAATGTAAATAATTACAATACTTTATCTCAGAAATATAGACAGATATAAATACTTGCTTGTATAAAAGTCTATCAATCAAACATGAGATTTTTTCTAGAAGTAATGCTAAAGTAATAATAAAAATCTTTCCAGATACTACACGAGTTCAAATTTGCCAAGAACATTTTTAGCAACCCAAAAGGCCTGTGATGAAATTACTATTTTTTGTTCTTTCTGCAAGAATCTAGAATTCTGGTTGAAAAGAATTTGGCTAATACTGAATTGATGTCTTTCTCAATTTAAACATTTTGGGACTCTAAGTAAATATTCCAAGAATCAGATTAAATGAAAATGTTCAATCCAATAAAATTGGATGCTGAGAGACATCCCTCCCAACTTGATATTTTTGTTTTCTCTCTCTTTCTCCATTCTTTTTCTCTTTCAATCTCTCTTCTTCCTTTTTCATTTCTTATCTCCCTTTTATCTCATTTTATTTCTCTATTTTTTTTTCTTTACACTCCCATCTCCCTCTCTCTATTTATTCTGTGCTGTTCTTCATTTGGTTACAGTCCTGGATATGATGCTAAACTATATCTAGCAGCAAGGTCTCTGATCAGGAGATTGGAGGCTTTGAGGAGCATAGAGCCACCTCTTAATTGCTGTTGTTCCCAGGTCCACCCTGATCCAGTGACCCCCCAAACACTATGAAAGTATAAAAATATATTTTTATAGTAAAAATATCCGCAATACATTTTTATGTAAAAATAAAATAACAGTAAATATTCATAGCAAAATTAGCAACAATACATTTTATCTATAGTTGAAGGCATATAATTGCATTCAAAATATATTTGGTTGAAGCCATAAGATTGTTCAAATTATTTACATTTTACATTTTGCCATTAAATAACCTATAGATGTTAATATGCCATTAACCAAACAACCAACATGAAAGAACTGTTTCATGTCATTAATCCATATAATATCTGACAATTTAAATCAAACTGTATTCCAAAATATAACTTCAAAAAACTAAAGCATCAAACATATCATTGCCTCAAATAATTATGTCCACACAAAAGCTGAGTATCATCTACCATGTATTCAATTGTAAAAGCAGAATAACATTTATTTTATTTCAAAGCTCTAAAGAAAATTAAATTTCAGCATTAAATATTAAACAAACAAATCAAGCAGTTTTTTGTTTGCCAAGCTGTGCTTAGTGTGGTATGGTGCGTCAAATACAGACTGCCTGATGAGGATTGAACCTGCTAAACTAAAAAATGTTTAATAACCTTTAACTTTTGAATAAAAGTTAAATTCACACTGTCCAAATGGACCAGCCAGATCTCAGCTAAATAAATATATTTGGTTATAACCAAATCTAATGATACTGACAGACTGTCGAATAGTACAATTTCATTGAATCAGCTTGAGTAACATGGTAGTTTCTATATAGTGACAACAGATTTTAAAATTAATGATTTATTTTGTGATTTTTCATCAGTAGATGATCAGATTACAATGCTATGACATCCAGATACAGAATTATGAATACTCACAAAGTCTTGATGGATCTTAAGAATAAAAGGCGTAAGTGACTTTACTTCTGATAACAGTCAACGAAGTGTAACCAAAAAAAAAATAAAATAAAATAAAAAACCCAAAACTATGCTTATAAAATTTAGAAATAATATTAGAAATATAGAAAGGGTTAAGATATATTTTTTTATTTTTAATTTCAATAGTTTCAACTGATTTTATTGCTTTTATTCTAATAATTTAAAAAAAAAAATTATATCAACAAGATTTTTAACAGGAATAGAATTTCAAATTTACAGCTAATTTCTAATAGTGTGAGAAGAACATGCTCAAAGGAGAAATATTTAAATATATTTAACCACATCAGAAAGCTGTCTGAAGATATGAAAAATAATTATAATCTAGATATTCTGATAAAATTTAATAAAAACAGGCATAAAAAACTTGATAAGAGAGACTTCTCACAATAGAGTTGGGCTTATAAAACTAATCTGAGGTACCCATTAATTAATGTCCTCCTGCCAAAATAAGCTATACTTAGTATATAATATACTTATACACAATATTATACTTGTCTTCTGATCTCACTTCTTTTCTCATCTACATACACACATCATTTCTATCTTTTACTGAATGAGATTAAGAGAAAGAGAGAGTAAGCAAAAGAGAGAAACTCATGTAAACTCACATACTCTTTTTTTCCTCTACTTCTCTCACAGATACACACTCACATAAAAATATTAAGTACTCAGACTTGTGTCTTGTTTATGTATTGTCAATGTAAGAAAGAAAGTGATAAGCAGTTATAGAAAGGAGAAAAGAAAGAAGAGACAATTAGAGAAGAGAAAATAGGGTGTATGATACAAAAGGAAAGATGAAGTGAGGGAGAGAGAGATAAAGAAAGAAAAGAGGAAGACAGGAAAGAAGAGTGTATATACGAGAGAGACAAAAAGAGCAGTGGGAGGAAAGAGAGAAGAAAAAGAGTAGTGGTGAAGAAGAGAGAGAAAAGTGCTGGGGGTGAGGAGAGAGAGAAAAAGGAGCCGTGGGAGAGAGAGAAAAGAGTTGGGGGAAAAGAGAGAGGAAAAAGAGTGGGAGTTAAAGGGAGAGAGCAATTAGGAGAATGGTGGTGGGAATACAAGAATCTGATAAAACAGTTTGGATAAAATGACAGCGAAAAGTGATGAAAGATTTGTGTGATGAGGAAACTGTCTTTTCTTTCTACGTATCAGTTTTTCCTCTTCTGTAATTTGAGACTCACTTAAATCAACTTGAGCCAATATCTTCTTCGCTGAACTCAATCCATTCTTTAGCAATCAAGTCTGATCAGTTAACTCTATCCCGAACATACAAGATCACTTGCCCAACCTATCAGCATTTACTGTCCAAGTCATGTTTCACATGTGTTTTTCTAATGGAATACAAATAGGTTGAGACAAATGATAAAATCAAGTCATTGGCTAAAAGCCGCATATAAAAATGTAGAGTAAGATTAGTAAAATCAGTCCTCAGATGGCCAACAAGTATTTTATGGCAAAGCAATGATTTATTTGTCTTGAACATGATCTTTTGATGGAAGTTCTGATTACCAAGAAGAATGAGTTGTGGAAAGACTTTCAAATCTGTAAATTCCTTTCAAAACAAAGTGCAAATAGAAAAATCTGACATTGACTGGTTGAGATTAATCAGTAAGAGTTTCAATTTCAAACTAAAACCAATCAACAGAATAACGATTTCAGCATAATTGGCACATTATTCAGAAACAAAAAGTAGATTTGTAAAATAGGAATTTACTTTAATGACATATCAAAGTTAAAACATGTCCTTAGAAATGAGACATTTACCTTTGACTATATATATATATATATATATATATATATATAAAAATATCATTCTTGAAAAGCTGGAAATTTTCCAACATATTTCAGTGAAACTTTCACTTTTCAAAATTATAGTTTAGATATATAGAAAAATATTTCAGTGAAAAAGAAAAAAAGGAAAAAGAAAAAAAGGAGACATCCATTTAAACTGATGCCTGCTAGATACGGGTAAAACTACTTTAAATTCTTAGCATTAATCTATTTGAAGTAATGTCCTCATTTTCTTGCTATAATCATGTTTCAGCTGCTGTACGCTTCAGCATTCTTCAGGTGTCTGTTGTCCATGTTAACCTTCTAGGAATTTTGAAATGAACCCTTTATTCAATTCAGATTGTTCCGGGTGTACAGATTGTTGTCATTCCAATGTTCATGCTAGAGACAATATTGTCTCAGTTAAATCTTCTGAGGTCATTCATCCTTATCGCACTAATAATGCCTTTTTATCCCACTGGACAAGGATTAAACTTCTCACCACTCATGACTCATTACAAATCCCAATAATGAAGAGATATAAATAATGATATAGTAATATATAATAAAGAAAATACTTTACCTCGAAAAGTTAGTTTGAATTAATTTTAACTAATTTAGTTCCCAGAAAAAAGATTATATATGTGTATATATGTGTGTATATATATATATATATATATATATATACATATATATATATATATATATATATATATATATATATATATATATATATATATATATATATATATATATATATATATATAATATTTATATATATATATATATATATATATATATATATATATATAGAGAGAGAGGAAAATTATTCTTAGCCAATGCATTTCATCCTATATATATATATATATATATATGCAAGCTTCATTAAATATGACAGACAAGGTGCTTTGATTAAGTCTTTTATATAATTTCTCATATGATCTTAGAATTTATTTTCTTTTCAGTAGATAAATTAACAGTAAATATATTTCATCCTTGAAGATGGTTAAATGCATAGGTGAAAGCGCTCAGAAAAATAAAACATCTAGACAGTTTTTGTATAGTTTATCTACTGAAAAGAAAAAAATTATAAGATCATATGAGAAATTATATAAAAGACTTAATCAAAGCACTTTTTCATATTTAATGAAGCTTGCATGAAAGAAGGATTGATGCTTAAACACACTATATATATATATATATATATATATATATATATATATATATATATATATATATATATATATATAGAGAGAGAGAATATAAAAGTGGACTGATATCAACACCCAGCAGCGACAGTCTGCTTCTTGCTTAAACACAACTGTCAGGTCATCGTTTTTTATATATATGTGCATTAGTATTTCTGCATAATTGCAAGAACTGAAATTTTTTGAATGACTGTCTTCATCTTTGTTGTTTTTTAATGCACCAATTCTTCAGCCTTCCACATGTATATTTTGTATCTGGTTTTAAGAATTGAACAAGTAGCTACACCTACATCTGATAAAGGTAAAAAAATATAGTGTGTGAAATGTTTTATTAAAACCAGCAGAATGAAGAAAAGAATCATAGGGTTTGGGATGAATGGAGAATATCAAATGAAATGTTATCTTATACACAGAAAAGAAGGATTCAAGATCTGTCCAGAAAGTACCACTCAGATAGCTTCTTCCCAATAACTGTTGCTTTGTGGAACAAAATCTCAGGAGGATGCTTTTAACCTCTTCAAGTCTAAGGTTGATCATTATCCTTCCCATACATCTGTATAAACTGCACCATTTATTTTTACCACTCATATAACAACCACCATCACACTATCTTGACTAGGCTTTGGGCGTTGTATATAGTGAACATTCGTGAAAAGAAAAAAGAAAGCTGATAGAAATCCAAAAAAGAATTTACAGACTGTTTATAAATAATTGATTGATTCATTCTTTATAGATCAACCATTTAAGTGTTATGTAAAGCCAAAACATATTTCTGACTGCACATAGTTGCTCAAAGGAAACCGTTCAAAAAAGTTGAAGAGACACTGAAAGAAATGTATTATTTACATTATTCAGACGGTTATCCTCATCTTCACAACGTTTTGGCTGTTGTACGCTCCGGCCTTCTTCAGGTGATTAGAATTTTGAGCTGAATCCTTTATTTCATCCACTGTGCTATACTGTTCTAGTTCCACATGTGGCGCCTCTTCCGGATGCCTCAGTTATTTATCTTTAATTCTCTAAGTTTTGGTTCATCACTGCTGTGGGCTGATACTGAACTCACAACTCTTTCCGTCTAGTCACTGGATCTCTTTATCCATCAGGCCATATGTGAATATGCCAATGAAGATGTGGATAACAGTCCGAATAATGTAAATAATGCAAGTAATCGTAATACCTCATCTCAGAGATATAGACAGCTATTACATCACTAGAAGCTAGTCACTGGATCTAACCAACGTCTTTATCCACTGGGCCATGTGTCCTTGTGAATATGGCAATGAAGATGAGGATAACATTCCAAATAATATAAATAATGTAAATAATCATAATACCTCATCTCAGAGATATAGACGGCCATTATATCACTAGAAGCTAGTCACTGGATCTAACCAACGTCTTTATCCACTGGGACATGTGTCCTTGTGAATATGGCAATGAAGATGAGGATAACAGTCCGAATCATGTAATAATCATAATACCTCAACTCAGAGATATAGACAGAAAAATGTTTAAGTTTCCAAATGATATATTTAAGGGGATAAAGGTACTATTGCCCTAGTTAGGCTGTTTTCTTTTTTTTTTTTTTAGTTGGATCAACTGCAGACAGATTTGTTTGCAGAATAAGCAATGAAAGTTAAGAAGAAAAGCAATTAAAGTGGAAATAATGAACGTAGTGTGTATTTGTTACCATAGATTTATAAAGAGTTCATAATTCTAGTAATATATAATTCTTTTTCCAAACACAAGAGAATTGATAGAGGAATTCATCTCCTCAATGAGAAAATAAAAATCTACATTGTCCATTATATCTAAGATTTATAACTATAGTGAGTGTCGATAACAAATAAAATAAGAATGAAAGTTTGAGAAAGGAAAGAAGCAACAAACATTATAGATCTCGTATTCTTTAGGAATATTTTCCAAGAACACTAGACACAAAACATAAACAGTGCACATCAGTTATTCTCCAAAATGAAACCTGGCCCATTTAGCACTTAGGAAATGGAAATCTTTATTACCCTTGAGAAAAAAGAAGAAAAAAAAAAGAAGAAACACTGTCGCAGAAATAATACCAGGATATTTTGAAAACCCTTTATAGACACTATTTATGGAAATTTCTCTGCAGATTCCACAGCTTGGGAAAGACTAAATTTATGGTTGCTTTTCTCATAAACAATTAATCACTGACATTCAGAAAAAACTAAAAAATAAACTCTTAGTGTATGAATAAAAAATAGGGTTTATAAATTAAAAAAAAAATAGTTATGTTAAAAATATTTCTTTGAGGTTTTACTTCTCCAATACTCAATCAATTATTCAACGTAAATTATGAATAAGAGATATGTTCTTGTTCGGCATTTTAAAAAAAAAAAAAAAAAGGTATATATTGTTCCCAAATAAAAAATGGCAAATAACATCAGGTATGGTACTCCTGCTATATATTTAGAAATCATACTTATTATAAAACCCAGGTTGTGTGTGTGTGTGTGTGTGTGTGTGTGTGTGTACGTTTATATATTGGATCGGATTTCCTACATTTTTCAACCGATTTCAACAAAACTTCACTTTTTTTTTTGGCAGGTAGTGTTTCTTATCGTCTTGCACACTTTTTTCTTTATTTTTACATTCAGAATGCTTTAAAAATTCCATTTACAAGACAATTGTTTATAATAAAATTCTATTCAATCGGTAGACTCATAACGATTGAAAACAATGTTTTTGTTTGAGTTTGACCAATTCGTAAAAAAAAAAAATAAGACATGCATGTCCGTCAACCTTAAACAATAATCTTTGTCAATTTTATTTTTCAGTCTTTATGATGGTGGATACTTGATCTATCTCTTACTGTTACATCCCCGAGCAACGCCGGGTTCTACTGCTAGTTCTTGATAAAATCCAAAGAATCTGGCATCTCAGCTTCTTTCTCACCACTGTAATGTAGCTTTCCTGTGCTTTTTCTATAAATATTTTCATGGCAATTATTTTGATGAACTTTTCCTCTATGGTAATAGGACCTACACATATTAAATTGTCTTTAAATTAAGTGGCAGCAGAAGAATTACCATTGAACTTTTAAAAGGTAAGTTTAAATATTAATGCAATACTTAAATGCAATGATCAATTTTGAGTTTCCAATGCTGAGAATATGCAAAGACTTAGGGACTCTCAAACTCCTGAACAAGCTGAAGAGCCCTTTACAGGAGCAAGTATTTAAATATGTCAAAAATGTTATGTAAAAATAATTTATCAGGGAGAGTGGATCAATAAGTTCATTGCCTGAATTAGTTATTAGATGAATATTGATCAGAAATTTTAACTGTATAATTTATAGAGAAGTATTGGGTTATGTGTATTAAGAAGGAAAAGATGTTGAAAATAAATATTTCTTGTATAAAACAAATACTTCAATTTCATTATTAAGTTCTGGATTTATTGATTACTTTTTTTTTCTTTAAATATAATTATATAAAATAAATAAAATATCTAGAATCAAATATATAAAGCTCAAAGTTTATGTGTGCATATGTGTGTTTGTATCCACTTGAAACCTTGAAAATGAATGTATGAAAAGTTAATGGCCCAACCCACTTTCAAAAATCTAACCAAGTGACCAAACATAAGAATTGTAAAAAATTCTTTCTTGGTCAGGTTGATAACTTTTCAACACCATCTTGTATATAAAGCTGGCTGTCTGTCTGTATGTGTGTATATATTACAGTAAATAAATGCAAGTGTATTTACTTGGTTGCCCACTTAAATGAAATATGACACACAAGACCGAGTTTAAAGTAGGAGCCCCCATGCATATGCATAAGAGTAGGGACAAAAATCGTTGTTTCCACAACACTTCATTTCTGAGATGCCTCAGGCAGAAGAGTCCTCCTCCTTTTAACAGAATAGGGAAGGTGCTACCTGAGAAGATGGCTCCCTCATGCTAAACATAACAAATAAATGCAGTTTGTTCATTTACATTTTCCAGCATGTATCTTATATCTTGTTCAACTTAGCATTTCTTCCATAATGTAAATAATTAATTTGCATATTCAAATTTTTCAGTTAATTTCCAATTTAGTCATTTGTGATAAGTAATTTGTTTTGTTGACGGTTTTTATAATTAAATTTCTGAAAGTCATTTTTGGCTTTAAAACTGGTAACCATTTCAGCAATTTTTAAGAACATATTTCAAAAAGATTTTGTTAAAAACAAAGAATGCTGAACTGCTACATAATATCAATCCTCTATGGCAGTGAATACTGAACAATTTCCTCACAAATGAAGAGGAGAGTTGAGGTAACAGAGACTTTGTCCTACTGAAGGATGTTGAGGATACCATGGATGGAGCTTGTGAGCAACAAAGAAATTTTAAGGAAAAAGGAAACAAAAAAGACACATTAGAAAGTGAAAGTTGAAATTTTTGTGACACATGAGAAAAGAGAGTTTGGAGAATTTGACACTCACAGGATATATTGAAGGAAAGCAGGACAGAGGAAAGTAGCAAGTTTGTTAACTGCGGCAAGGAATAGCGTTTACTGTCTCCAAAACAAAACTGCTCTCTTAATCATCTGAGAGAAGCCATTTTGTCTTCCATCAGTATGGCTGATGCTAACCTCCAGGAGAGTGACTCATCATGCCTTCTCAGGCAAATCTTTTCTGCTGACATGAAATGGAAAGATTATATTGAATCAACTGTTAGGTCTTTTGCTAGGAAAGTTGATTCACTGTGTTGTGCTAGACAATTTTTTCTTAACTGAATATACATTATATATTTATAATTCTACCATGTATTGAATATTGCTACCATATCTGGTCTGGTGCTCCTTCTGTGTAGCTTGAGATTCTTGATAGGATCCAAAGAAAAATCTGCAATGTTATTGGCATCTCAGCTTTAGTCAATTTCCTACCACCGTAATATAGCTTGCCTGTACCTTTTCTATAAATACTTTCATGGTAATTGTTCTGATGAACTTTCCGCTATGATACCTAGACTTTATGAATTTAAGTTCAGTACTAGATTGGCTGCTAGGTCTCATCCTTTTACAGCTGAAATAGCTAGATGTAACTAAGTTCTATGCTAATAGTTTTTTCTCTCACACGTCTCATTTGAGGAACTCTCTTATGGCTTTCAGTCAATTTCTATCTTCAAAAATTTAAATACAATGTAAATCATTATCATCTGTTTTCTTAATTTCTGTTCTTTTATTGTTCTCTCTCCTTGATAATGTTTTTCTTTCTCATATTCTCTCGAACACAGTAACCCTTTGTGTCATAGTAGCTTTATTGCCTTACTTGGAGTGAAATGATTAAGAACAGCAACAAAAAAAAACCTAAACTATCAATTGATAAAATTTTTTAGATGATCAAAAATGTAAATGGATATTACAATAGGGACTTTGAGGGGGGGGTAGTAAGGAGGCAAACATTGAAGCTACAAATGATAGGAAGTTATGGAGAGACATGATCACCCAAATCCTGATGGATAAGACACATTTGAAGTGTCAAAAGAATAAACAATTCCAGGAATCAAAATCACAATCACTCACCAAATTGGAGATTATGAGACTTGCAGAATTTCTTCCCAAATCTCTGGAGTTGATGCCAACCGATAAGTAGCAATCTTTAAAACAAGAAGAGAAGAGGAAGGAGGAGGGAAGCAGAAGAAGAAAGGAAGAAGAAGGAAGAAGAAGAGAAGAAGGGTAGAGAAGGAGGGAAGAAGAAACGAACAAAAGATGCCAGTTCCTTGGCTCTGTGATAAAAATGATTAAAGGAATATAGATGCTGACATAACTAAAATGCTAAGAAGAACTCCCAAAAATATAAAAAATAATAATGTCTGACACGAAAGAGATCGATTACGTATAAATATATTTGGTAATTCAATAGTGGAATCCACAATAACTTATTGATTATTTCTCACTTTTCCTCATTTATTATTTTTTCCATAAAGAATTTAAAAAAATCTACAAGAATTGGTTGGAAGAGATATAATAATTAGAAAGTCTCTGGTATTATACAAAATGAACTTGCCTAAAAACATGTTTATTCTGAACTGCAATACATTTTCTTGATATTCATAGACAGTTTCTACTAATAAATGCAAATTACAAAGATATTTAAGTTAGGTTTAAGGCACTCAAGTTCTACACTCAGGAGTGTCCCATGAGACCAATAGCCTAGTGGAATAAAGTGTTAGTTTGTAAATTTGGTCACAATGTTCAATGTTCTGGCTGGGCAGTGTACTCAACAGAAACAGAGTGAGCAGTAACTCAGTGGTACTAAGAACTAGATGAGATATCCATAAACATGGTCACTGGAATCTACCCCCATATATTAAATAAAGGGTTCAGTTTGAAATTCTCTGAGGGTTACCTAAGTTGACAAGTGTCTGATGAAAGCTGAAAAGTACAATTTCATATGTACATCAATTGAAACATTTCTGTAAAAATAATAATTTTTTAGGAATTAATTACTTGGGATATTTTAAAAGCTATTTTGTAATACTAAAATTCATGTAATACAAGGCTCAAGAGTCTATCAAGGTAGAGGGTTAATGTTAAAATAGTTATGATGAATGAGTTGTGTGATATAAATGAAAAGGGAGGTAGTTATAGGAACTCATGAGTATGACGAAATAATTGAATCCTCTACAAAGAAACAAAGCTGCTTATATTTTTAAAGAACATGTCTTTTTAATTGTTAAAAAAATAAAACTCTACAGAAACAAGCAGGCAGTGAAATGTTCTCAGCTTAACCACAAAATGCCCTACCCCCAAAATTCAGACAAGCCAGGTTGGTTGTCATGTGGTCATCAATAATGTCTCCAGTATCATTATACTTCATAGGTTTGTACCTAATAGATATTTTTTTTAGTATGTTATATCAGCTTGGTACTCCAGTTTGTTTAAGTCCAGGTCAGGTTAGAGCAGATCATTTCATACTAGTACTCAGTCTTTAGTTGTATTCTGAGCTGTTATACTTTGAATAATGAATTGTTAAGTTCCTTAATTCTCAACACTGGCTATTACTGTTTATCAATGACTGACCCCAGGCGTACTTAATTTGTACTTCACTTGTAACCAGTCACAATGATCAGTGACCTCGTACTAATCTGACCTCATAAAGGATTACATATCTCAGTTGATACTTCCATTTTCAATACTTCAGTAGTTCTGCTTTGTTTTTATATTCTTTGGACTGTGTTGTAAGGTGGTAGGAGTACAACGTCAGCAGATTTAGTTGCACTTGTAGTAAACTTACTATCCAACAAAAACAGAATAAGTTAACCAAATTTTTTTTTTTTTTTTAGAAAACTTTGAATTCAGACATTTTAGATCCACCAACTATAATATAAAATGTAGAACTATCAAGATTACATTCTACTTTTTTTAAAATAGAGAATAGATTCACTTTATCAAAATATTGAATTAACAAACATCATTTTTATTTACATTTCTGAGAGGAAGCATTTTTACTATTATATAATGATTTGTTCAAACCATTGTTCTTGTTTTTGTTATTTTTATTGTAAAATATCAGCTAATGTATTCTGCAACTCTCATTAGGCAATTTTTTTTATGGCTGTATAGTATTTGCTTTGCCAGAGTTATATATGATTTTGAATTAAGAGTTACCCTTCTACTAGACTGGGTGCCAACCACAGCTAAAGAACACAGTCTACCCTGCTATTTAACTGATAACTGGATGAAGAGATGCATTTATATCTTTCCCAAGGGTGAAAGTGAAGATAATGAACCCAGATAGAATACCAAATTCTTTATTTATTTTTTTTTTTTAATATTTTTACTTAAATTATAGATGCATATTCAATGACCATTACACCCTCAATATGAGTGATTTATGGCAAAAAAAGATATTAAAAATACCTTGAAGACTCTCTAAGTCATAAAATGTTCTGATAATGGTGTGGAGAGGCAACAAAAAAGGAAGAATATAAAGAAGTCTTTGAGTAAAAAGTTTTTCAATCTATGAACACACAAAATCCCAAATTTACCATTGCATTTGATACAACTTAAATTCGATAGAAAAAAAACCCCAAAAATCCCTCCACTCACCTTCAGAGGTTTACTTATATTGGCGGGAAAATAAAGGAAACATTTTATTCCAAATTCTGGCTTATCTAACAGCAGATTTATAACAAATCTATTCTTTAGCTTTGGATTCCAAACATTTCATTATGTAAGGGTTTGGTAGAGGGGTGGTGATCCTTTTCCAGTCAATCTATCCATATATTTCCCACCATCAGCTTGTTTCAGATAAGCGATAAAAAAAAAAGAGAACATCCAAGGGAAAGAAATAAAGAGACAAATAGAAAAAAAGAGGAAAAATTAAGGAGAGAGAGGGAAAGAGAGTAAAAGGAAGTTGAAAAAAAGAGGAAAAATTAAGGAGAGAGAGGGAAAGAGAGTATAAGGAAATTGAAAAAAAAAAAGAGGAAAAATTGAGGAGAGAGAGGAAAAGAGAAGTACAAGGAAGTGGAAAAAGTTTACAAAGTGCAAATAAGAAACATGAGCAGCCAGCAGAGAACAAAAAAAGTCTATCTTAAGAAGAAAATAAAAAAGTATATTTAGAACATAAATATTAATACTTTAATACAGTCACACTAAAAAGTAATAGACTCTGCTAATAATAATAATTAGTTTAAGACTTGTGAAAATTTCATGGTTTTCCTATTTGAGATTTCTGATGAATCTTAATTCTTTATTATGTAGTTAAGCTTATGGCAAGCTCTATGACAATAAAATATTCATAGAAATACCCCTACTGCATCGTTAAATATTTGAGGTTAACAACTTTAACAAAATATTGTAATAACAATCATAAATATGAATGCTGGTCATTATTTTAAGAAGTAAGGGGGTACAAATGAAATGTGAAAATGACAACTTTTTCCACTTCACTGAAACAGATGTTATCTACTCTTCTTTCTTTCATTTTCTGACTGAAACCAAGTAGTGTCTTTGATGTCATTTGTCTTCTCATACAATCAAAATGAAATAGTCCATTATTTATGAGATATTGGCAGGGCGTAATGGTCATGCAAATTAATGAAAGGAGACACAAGCACAATTATTATGTGATATTTCTTCTGTTTCTTAAAACATATTTGAAAATGCAACAGTTTTTTTTAAATGTAATGGTCACAAATTTTTCAACTATTATTTCTTTCTTCTTAATTTCAGACCAGCAAACCAGAAAAAAGATGACCAATTAAAAAATTAATAATGATTGACAATACTTCAGTCTAAAAACTAATATGAATGCTCCATATATGACTACTTTTGGTAGAGAGGAGAACTGTTAATACTTTTCATAATTATATGTCTGTATATTCAATATACATAGAAAGATATTATCCATCATCGCTTTTTTTGCTCATCACCTTTCAACAATTAGAAAGGAAAATTCTCTCTCCTCCTCCCAGGGATTGTACAATTTTCTACAGAATAGATTGGTTGATATATGAAAACTGTCCGGAAAATATCCAGCCACATTAAAATATTCCAATAACCAGATGTGCAGCTTTGATATAACTTGACAGCTAATCAGAGGGAGGAACTTACTGTATATGCATAAACAGAAACTCTCCCATTGGGTTATTCAGGTGTTATTGAGTGAGCTTGTGTACATTGTGAATGGTTAAATTCACTATGTCTTTATTTCTTGATAGTATGTTTTACAACCTTTGAGAAAGTGAGTTTTATTTAGTTTTATTATCAAAAACCTTTCAGAACTGGTGACAGGATAACATTAAATTGTTCAAGCCAAAAGTGAAATGAATTTGGTGATTGGCTGAAAGATTATTTACATTTGCAAAAGACCCCCCCCCAATTTCTTCTACTACATCCTTTTTGATCTTTTATTTTGCTCTATCTTGCCATAAAGAATTCTAACGTCTTGTAATTATGTTGCCTCTGCTGCGCGGGTCACGTGATCAGAATGCCTACCACACGACACCCATGTATCATCTTGTTTGGAGAATTTGCCAGCACCAAGGGGCTACATGGAGGCCCAAAATAGTGCTACTAGGATCAGTTGAATACATTTCTGACACAAGCTGCAACGGGGCCTTCCTGGTGTAGGACCATCTTAAGTTGGTGTGTGAAACTTTTGACCTGCTGTCAATTGTTCAACATGAAAATGATTTCATGGGTACCTCCTCACAGCTGTCAGGAGAGGCCAGACTAAGGAGAGAGAATGATGATCCCAATGCAAGCAACCATGTCCACCTTTCCATCTGTACCTACTTTTCAATCTTTTTTCTCAATGTTGACGACTAGACTAGATTGTAAGCCTCAGTCTGTACCTACTTTTCAATCTTTTTTTCTCAATGTTGACCCCAGACTAGATTGTAGGCCTTTTCCATCTGTAAAGACTTTTCAATCTTTTTCTCAATGTTGAAGACTAGAGAGAATGATGATCTGTACCTACTTTTCAATCCTCAATGTTGACGACTAGACTAGATTGTAATTATGCCTTTCCATCTGTACCTACTTTTCAATCTTTTTCTCAATGTTGACGACTAGACTAGATTGTAATTATGCCTTTCCATCTGTACCTACTTTTCAATCTTTTTCTCAATGTTGACGACTAGACTAGATTGTAATTATGCCTTTCCATCTGTACCTACTTTTCAATCTTTTTCTCAATGTCTCTTTATATCCAAACAGTGAAATTGTATTTCTTTAATTTCCATCCTTTTTGAGATCCTTTCATGTGGTTTTCTTTTCATTTTCCTTGAGCTTTCTTACTTCCCTTTTCCTTATTTGTTTTCCCAATTCCTTACTGATTAATATCATTATATAGGTTTCTTGGTCAGTAAGTGTAACTGATTCTAACTCAAAAGGGCCAATGATTGAACAGATACTATACTCTGATCAGTCATAGAAAAATTATGACAATTACACATACAAACAAGTAAAATAAGAGTATAGATTATATATTAATGTATTCATTTTTAACCCAACACTTTTATTACCTTAAACATTATTATAATGGATCTTCATACTTTAAATAGATACCACATTTATATTCTTACTTTAAACAGTGTATATTATATCTATCATTTGATAAATCTTAAATGTGGAAGTGAGCTTGCCTTAAAAAGGGAAAACAGAATATTGCTATGTCACTCTCTATTGCTGAATAGTAAAGCACACTTGATCAAATGCTGGTTTCTCCAACAAAAGGGAATGTGATCCCTGCCAGAGTATACATTTTCTTGATTAAAATTTCTCAAATGCTCAGACATAATACACACTATGTTAAAAAAAAGAAAAAAAAAGAAAGTGGGACATCTATTTCAAATACAAGTATCCACTATAATAATATTTGAAGAAATAAAAATGTGGGTTTAAAAATAAATTATTTTATATATATATATATATATATATATATATATATATATATAAGAGAAAGAATAGATGGAGTAAAAATCCACAGTTCATAGCATTTAGTTTTAAAAAAGCGATCAGTACAAAGTAGAACAAAATATTATAATAATATTTTTATTATAAGAGATTATAATAAAAACATTTTTATTACTAGTTACCAACCATCGCCTGAGGAAGTACAATAATAGTATTGAAACATGAAAGCTTTTGTGTAGCAATGTAAAATGTCTTTATTGTAATCTCTTATAATAAAAAATATTATAATTAAATTATATATATATATATATATATATACACACATACATATATATGAAATATTGCACATTGAGTGCTAGTATTAATAAAATAGTGCTTGATGTATAATAAAAGAGGTATATACATTTTTTTTCCTCACCAGTAGTACAAGCCTGAGTTTCTGAGATGAAACTCAGAGTTGTGTTACTGGTGAGGAAAAATTTATATATATATATATATATATATATATATATATATATATATATATATATATATACATATATACACACACAAAATGTAAAAAACAGAACCAACTGTAAAAGGTTCAAGGAGTTACTTTATACCCATAATTGAATTTCCAGTTGTTGATGTGGGTTCAATAGATTGGAGAGACTTGGAGAAATTTCTGAGGCAAAAGGCCAGGAGGAGGTGATGGATTGGAATCCCTGGAGACGGATTGGGTTTTTGTGGAGAGTTTTACAATTTGTGCAAGCCATTCTTGAAAAGAAATGCATGAAGAACGCATTTAAGATAACAGGCAAATCACTTCCTGCCAGGACTGGGTACACAGAACTCAAAGCCCAGAGACAGGTTCCATCTGCCAGTCAATTTGGTATGGGTCATTATCACATAATGCTACCACCCACCTAGACATTCCAGGCCCACCAGACATTTTTTTTTTCTTCCCCTAACTCAGCTTTAGACTGTCATGGATGGACATGTCAGATGGCATGAAGAGGGATGTCTCCCAACTACCACCTAAACATTAGGAGATTGATTAGTGTCCAGCAGAGAGGTAAGAGCAGGGTAGTGAGTCAGTGGCAAGGGTTTCACCTTGGTGTTGGTAGGGGTCTTGTCAAAGGTTACTGGACAGAGCTTATCATGTAGAGTTTATAACAAAGAATTGTAATGATTGGGTTTGATGAGGCCAGAGACTACAAGAGAGAGATGACTATCAGGCTAAGGAGTGTATAAGTGGGTAGCCAGCTGGCAACTTCTGTTTCTCCTCTCCAGGGTGCTGAGAAGGTTGAATAAGGTGACCAAAGAGCATGGCTTCAGGACTGAGTGGGAAACCTTAAGGGTGGTAGATTTACATTCCTCTAGCATAATGTTTGTCTTTTGCTTTCATGTCCATAAACAAAAGACTGGTGGCCAGACAAAAAGTGATTCATTAGACTGTCCTGTTTAGAAGTTGGGAGATAGCATTCTAAAGTAAAGAAACTTTCAGTCCAAGACTGAATATAGTGACTTGACCAATTTAACTTCTTTTAATACAGGTAATCTTCATGCAATTACAATTCTCAGTATTGGCACATTCTTTCCTTGCAGATAAAAATGTCATTCTTCAGATTTCTACCAAGAATAAGTTGGCAGTATCTGTGTATTCAGTAAAAACTGTAATACACACATACACAGTATATATATATTTTAAACAAATTTTGTTTATTTTAATCTGTCTGTATAATTTTTTCTCATTGTATTTTTCTAATTTCCAAATACCAGGATGTAGCCATCAAAATCTTGTCTACCATATTGACAACATTCAATTCTCGATAATGATTGAAATGGTTGAAAGTACTCAAACTAGAATAGAACTGAAACAATTTGGACAGTTTATTGACAATTTTGATTTAGATGTAGAACACCTTATTCAAAAATTTGAAAATACAATAACAGTTAAACATACAGACCTTCTTGGTTGAATTTAATATAACTTGTTTAAATAAATTTTTGTGGCCTAGATGTGTGATCACAGGCATCAACACTGAATGGCTACAATCTGTTTCAGGCTTGACTAATTTTATATATATATATATATGAAATGATGAGGGCTTGAATGTTTTGGGTCAAATTAAGAAGTCATTCCTCCCAAAATTCTGATGTTTGATCAGATTTTAAGAAATGGTCAGGCTGAGAACTTTCCCTGGATATACATTGCTGTGGCAGATTATTACGAAATTATTTTCTGGAAGTAAATACCATTTTGTTTCTTTTGCAGAGATGACAAAAATTATATTTCTCTTAATTATCATTTACTTTTTAAATAATTTCACCTTTGTAACATTAATGGGGTATCTCTTCCTGACATTTAAAGAAATAAGAAACAAGAGAATGATGTTTTTAGAAGTAAAGACCTGGATTTATTACTTCTGAAGAGAGCTGTATAAAATTCTTTGATGAGATGAAAATTAAACTGTAGTCTCAGTTCTTAATAATCCAAAGAAAAATAAATTGTGTTCTTTTTCATTGTTTTAATCAATTCTTTCATTCGTTATTTTTTTTATCATTTTAATCGATTCTTTCATTCGTTATTTTTTTATTGTTTTAATCGATTCTTTCATTTGTTATTTTTTTTGTTTTTTGTTCTTTCATTTTATTTTTTTTTTTTCATTTAATCGATTCTTTCATTTGTTATTTTTTTATTGTTTTAATTGATTCTTTCATTTGTTATTTTTTTATCGTTTTAATTGATTCTTTCATTTGTTATTTTTTTATTGTTTTAATCAATCCTTTCATTTGTTATTTTTTTAATCAATCCTTTCATTTGTTATTTTTTTAATCAATCCTTTCATTTGTTATTTTTTGGAGAATGTTCTATTTTAATTTTTTGAATTCACTTCAAACATTTTTCTTCTTTTCATCTTCCCAACTCATACATTTAAGTCCAAACTTGTTTTACTAAAATAATGATAAAGAGTCAGGAGTGGGGCAGATTTAAATTTAAGCATGGTGAGGCTGTGACTTTACTCTCCACGAGGTAGTTTAAGTGGGGGAGGGGGATATTATGTAAGTTTCTCAAATATTTTGTTAGAAACAACAAAAAGAGTACTGAACAGTTAGGTAATATTGGTCATCCTATATGGCAGCAAATAATGAACAGATGAAGAAGAGACATGTGGCAGCAGAAACGTTGTTCTACAGAAGGATGCTGAGAATAAAATGGACTAAACATGTAAGCAATGACAAAGTTTTAGGGAAAATGAAAACAAAAAGAACACTCGTCTTCAGCATCAGAAAGAGATATTTGAAGTTTCTAGGGCACATAATGTGGAAAGAGGGCTTAGAAAATTTTCACTCATAGGGCATTAAAGGTAAGAGAGACAGAGGAAAGCAGCAAATAAGATTGTGTAAATGGTAGGTAAAACAGGGATTAGGAGAGATAGCAAAAAGAAAAACATTACTAAGAGCTACAAAGGATAGGAGATTGTGGAGAGTCATGATTGCTCATATCCTGAAGAGAACCGGCACATTGAAGAAGTATGTGTGTGTGAGTGTGACAGTGCCATAGTGGCTGAGGCTTGTGTATTTCCTGCTGGGTTCAGGAGCCTGTGCTTTTAGCCTTTGACGTCATTCCAAAGGTAGCGATTTGCTCCCCATCCTCCATTTAGAAAAATCGACACAACACAGTCTTCCTATTTTTATTTGCTGCTCCATTCCTATTTACATCAGACTAAGTGCACGGAATCAAGGGAAATAAAAATCCCCTGAAAATTTTCAATAAGAAGGTAGCTAGTTAAAGTAAACGAAACAAGAAAAAAAAAAGAAAAAAAAAGGTGTTAAGGTGACAAGAGACAAAAATTATCACGTGATATCAAAGCAAAGAGACACT